TTAGATCTCGAAGAATGTATCTGGGCTCCTGAGAAACATTTCTTTTAAGAAAAGTGTAACAGATAAGCTACTCACAATTCTTCCTGGTACTGACCATCTCTTGTTTTTGCTCATTGTACAGAAGTTTAAATTTTATCCATGTTTAGGCTAAAATTTTGTGAATGGAATAATTCAGTAAAAAATAGTTACTTTTAAATGGATACTTAGAAAGATTTTCACACAAGGATATATATGTATATATACATATATATGTATGTGTATATATATTATTATACACACACACACACACACACACACACATACACACAGCAGACTGGGACAGTTCTCAGGAAGCAAGCTTGGAGGTTGTCTCCTCTGCTTGTTCTCAGGATATGTTTGTTTCTGTCTAGCTTGATAAATACTCTACTGAATCTACTGTATTTCATTTCAGCCTCTTGACTGTGTCCATTCCATAGTCAAGATACTTATGTAACAGTATGTGTAACTCAACATACTTACATAACAGTATGTATAAAACTGACACTGTAGTCTTTATCTTTCAAGTCCGCTGTTCCTTGTTCCACATAGTGGTCAGTGTACAGCAGGTAGCTGCATTGGATACTTTAGGAAGTTTCCTTTTTCCTAAGATACCCACATCTAATTAGTCAATAACATGTGAACTGTCTCTGAAAAAGCTGAATTACCCTGTCATGATCATTAACTCTGTCTTCAGGTTTGTAATCAGAACTGGGCTAAATGTCCCCTTCTTTACAACCACTATGTTTCCCATACTACATATTCTGGTGGTAAGCTGAGTATTTTTGTAGCTGCTTGAAAATTTCTCTTTAGAAAATAGGCTGAACTTTTGTCTGTATGCTGTCTCTCCATTCTGACTTCAGTCCTGCTGTGATTTATTTCTGTTACCTCTCCCTTCCAAAGGTTAAATTAATCATGTTCTCTACTAGGATAAGACTGTCACATGGCATTATATAGCTGGCTTCTTTAGCACATTCTTGGTGGTACAGAGTAGAAATTTAGCAGAGGCCAAAGGTATCCAGTATAATTTTGCTGCCTGTTAGTCCCTAGCTTCTAGTTGGCAGATTATAATGTGTTTGATGGTGTTTTGTGTATTTATTTTGCTAAGTTGAAGCTTTATATACTATCATGCTTATTTAGGTGTTTTATTTCAGAGGCCACCATTGAAGACAGTTTAATGGGGCTCCTGACAGGTTCTAGTTGTTCCTATTGATTGCCTTACAATTCTCTTAACTGAGCAAATATCACTTTCCCATCATTTGTGCTGCATTACTAAAAAAAGTTGCATAACCCTGTCCATTCATTTTACATTTTTGGTGTCTAAACTTGCAGGGCTCTCAGGTTGACAGGGATATATTTGAGAAGGACTTCATATGTCACTTAATGGGGGTCTGTGGTCAAATTCTGAAACTTGGTATACTGTGGTATTGCTTCTCTTAGGAGACTTTTGGGGGGGGGTCTCCTGAATTGAGCTTCAGAACACAGTGGGTTTTGCTTTTGTTTCTGTTTTTGCACCCCTTTCTTAAAGAAGCGACTGTGATTATTATTTAGATCGTGATCATTATGCTAAAGCCTTAGTATATTCAATTGGAATACCAATTTTAAGAATGATCTTTTTAGCGCTGGGAAGGTAGCTCAGTGGTAGAGTGCTTGCCTTGTATGCATGAGGCCCTAGGTTCGATTCCTCAACACCACATAAGCAGAAAAAGCTGGAAGTGGCGCTGTGGCTCAAGTGGTTGAACACTAGCCTTGAGCTGAAGAGCTGAGGGACAGTGCCCAGGCCGAGAGGTCCGGCCCCATGACTGACTAAGAAAAAAAAAAGATCTTTTTGGATCCAAAGACTTTTGTGCTAAGATTATGCTTAATATTTCATTTTTAGTAAGTTTATAGCTCTATTAAAGCAACCATACTGTCATTGCCTCAAATAAGTATCAGATACCATTTGTGCTGTCAGGTTTTGTCCTGAAAACAATACTCAGTTTTTTGTTAACTAGAAAAGGCCCAGTTATAGCAATTTTATAAAAGAGGACAAAGGAATACACTAAGAGATCATTAGTATCAGTTGATTTGCAGGAGTTCTTTGTGTATTTTAGTCAGTAGTCCTTTGTCAGATGTATGCATTATATTTTTCCCCCAGTCTGTTCTTTGCCTTACCATTTTTCAGTCGTGTCTTTTAATAAACATTTTTCATTTTGATGATTTATGTAGATTTGCTTCATGGCTAGAGCTTTATGTTTTAAATTCATGAAAATATTCTGTATATCTCTCCAACAGCTTAAGATTTCTATTTTCCCATTCAGAATCATATGAGATAGTAATAATGGTATGAGGTTTATTATTTATTTTCCATATTATTGCAAAGTAGACTGACTTGATGCCTTAGTGGAAAATGAGATGACTGTGTCTATGTGGTTCTATTTCTAGACTTACTTTTCTTTTCATAAATACAGTCAAGACACTCCCAAGAACCTTATCTTCTCCTCAGCTCCTCTGCTGAAGAATTTGTCCTTAGTATGAGGGGCTTGTTAGGAATCTTTCCTTTCCCCAGACTTGATAGTAGCCCTACAAGGACTTACAATCCACCTAGGAAAACACAGTCTCCCTAATAGTCATGAGGAAAGAAGCCTGACAATCACATCTCTCAAGGATCCAGGTGGGGCACATTTCTTACATAGGTACTAATGGTGGCACTATTGCCCCTGTCAGTGAATCAAGGCCAACATTCTGTCCTAGACTCTAGCACAAGGGATAAGTACTGTGTTTCAGATGTGACAGTAGGTTCTGTTCCTATAAGTATTTTTTTAATGTCTCTTTTGTACTCTTAGTTGTGAACCTACTTATTTCTTTTATAATTTTCTTTAGAGACAGTCTTGCTTTGTGACCCAGGCTGTTTTCTGGAACTTGAAATTCTGCTTCATTGTCCTGAATCCTGAGTTTATAGGTGTATGCCATTACACCTTGCTATTAGTAAGTCTTGGTAATATAAGGTTATGTAGGTCTTCTAATTTCCTTCTATTTTTCAAGATTGACTTAATTATTCTAGACTTTTTTGTGTCTGAATTTTAGCATTGTCTTACTGATTTTTTTTCTTTTGGTTAAGACAGGGTTTCTTTATGAACTCATACTTCTTCTTTTTCCGGCCCCCCCCCCCCCCTTCCACTGAACCCGAATTACCATACCTTGCTCAGTTTCACAAATACAGTGCATTTGTTAGAATTTTGATAAGCACAAATAGAGAAGAATATACACTTAAATGGGCCCAATTGACATTTAATCCTGGGTATTCTGAATTTTTCCCACAGAATTTGTGCTTCCATTTGGGTACTTTAGTTTGGTGTTCAAGTTCACTGCCTATTTCTGTGCTACTAAAACTAATGACATCTATATAGTACTGTATTTTTCATTTCTAACATTTCCTTGTGATATTTTTATGGCTTTAATGTTTATTATGAAATTCTCTTAATTCATTATGCATGCTATCTGTCTCTGCCATCTTGTCCTTTAGTATTTTTAGTATAGTTATTTTAAAGTCTGATTAATCCAACATCTAGACCCTCTTTGATTGGAATTATCTTTGATCTTTGACTATTTACTACTAGTGATATCTTCTGATTTTTTGATTGAATGCTTACATTTGTATAAACGGTAGAGCTCGAAGTGAATACTTTTAGAAAGTAGCCTATTTTTTTATATTAATTTGATAGAATGTGGGGCTAAGTAACAGTGTAGTTGACCTAATTCTGGACTTTCTTGGAACATTTATTTGATTTAGTTAAAGTGTCTTGAGAATCAGAGCAAAACTTGTCCTTTCTCCTGCTCCTGTACCCCCTTCTTTTGGGTCACCAGCTTTCTGAACCATGGGAGATTTTTCTGTAGCCCAGCTATCAGTACTAGGTCATTGCCAAGTCATTTTGCTCTCTAATCCTGCCTAAGATTTTTGTGATAAATGAGGTATCTTTCTGATACTGATACTTGCCCAAGGTTTCTGCAGTTCTGCTCTTCCCCAGTCTTGACAGTTTAACATACAGGATATCTGAGTGGAAGGTTTTCTTTTATTTCTACTATCCAACCTCTCAGCATTTTTCAACTGAAATATCTAGTCTCTTGGGTTGATTTCCCTCGCCTATACCCAATTTCTTCTCTTCAAAATGCAGATTCCTACTGTGTGTTGGTGGCTCACACCTGTAATCCTAGCTACTTATGAGGTTGAGGTCTGAGGATCATGGTTCAAAGCCTGTTCAGGAAAGTCCGTGAGATTATGATCTCCAATTAAAAAGCCAGAAGTGGAGCTGTGTCTCAAGTGATAGAGTGTTAGCTTTGAGCACCAAAGCTCAGTACTCAGGCCTCAGAACTGGCATGCACACACAAAACCTCTCCATACAAAATGCAGTTTTCTTGCATTTTTTGGGAAAACTATTTTATTAATAATTTAATTAGTAATTAACTTAGTTTAGGGGATCTCCTTTGGGCCCCCCCCCCCCTTCTAATAAATAGACTACAGGCATCCTTAGGACGTTCTGGGACCTTCATTAAACACAGCAGATTAAATATATGTATTTTCTTTCCCCTCATACCTTACCAAAATGAAGGCAAAGGAAAGAAAAGCCTCGGTTCTGGTGGGACTAAGAATGGATGGGGAATAGCATTGGCAGAGAGGTTGCTCACAGTTCAGAGTGTTAGTGACAGAATATGTTACCTGACATAGCACTGCTAGAAAGGTAAATGAAGGCAGAAGCTATCAGAGAAACAGAAAAAATAAAATTCTTAGGACTTCAGGATCCACCAAGTGTTCATAATAGTAGATGAAAAAAGTGTTTCCTTTTCACAATTTGTTTAAATAGTAAAGTCATTTTCATGGATAATTTTAGAAAGTCTATGATGGAAGTAACAATCTGAGCTTCTTGTTTTATCGTGTGCTTTTAGGAATATGTTGCAATCACATTTGATATTAAAGCTAGTGTTTAACCTTTCAATGTCTTTTCTAGGGTAGATTCACAAGGTGGTTTCAGTGTGGATTGCTGCTTTGGTTACGAGCATGTCGTCCATCTTGCCGTTCACCCCTCCAGTGGTGAAGAGGCTGCTGGGGTGGAAGAAATCTGCTGGTGGCTCTGGGGGAGCAGGTGGAGGAGAGCAGAATGGACAGGAAGAGAAGTGGTGTGAGAAAGCAGTGAAAAGTCTGGTGAAGAAGCTAAAGAAAACAGGACGATTAGATGAGCTTGAGAAAGCCATCACCACTCAAAATTGTAATACTAAATGTGTTACCATACCAAGGTAAGTGTGGCTAGACCTAAAGTTTGATGACCGTACTTTGGAAAATTACTCATAAGAACTTGAAGGAAAGTTAGTGAGTTTTTGTTACTTTCACAGCAACTGTGTGTGATAACTAAAATATGATTGTTTATCCTGCCATACTAATTCTGTTTTACTAGTTAATTCTTGTTTATTTTGCAAATCATTTTCTTGAGCAGTAAGGTTTGAGTAAAATGTAAGGTTTGTCTTTGTTGCTTAAATTTGTGTGTTGTTGGGGTTGGGAAGGTGGCTCAATGGTAGAGCGCTTGCCTTGCATGCATGAGGCCCAGGGTTCGATTCCTCAGCACTACATAAGCAGAAAAATAGCTGGAAGTGGCGCTGTGGTTCAAGTGGTAGAACACTAGCCTTGAGCTGAAGAGCTGAGGGACAGCGCCCAGGCCCAGCGTTTAGACCCCACGACCAACAGCAGCAGCAGCAACAACAACAACAACAAATTATGTGTTGTTTTAATTTCTGTGGTTGAGTGGTGTTTAAATAAAACATTCAGAATTCTTATTACCCACAGGTAGTGACTGGCCATTTTTCCTTGGTTAAAACTTCAGTTAGTTAAGTAGTTTAAAAAAGCTGCTAATTTTTTATTAGCATACATTAGTGATACAAGGGAGGTTTCATTGTGGTATTTCTATATACATTTATAGTGTATCTTAATCAGCCTCACCCTTTTTTCCTTTTCCCTTTCTTAAGACAATTTCAGTAGATTTCATTGTTGTATTTTTATACAGGAGGCTGCTGATTTCTTACTGTATTTTACATGGTTTTTGCTTGAGCAGCATTATTTCTAAGAACAGTATGTACTTCTTAAATATTATATGAAGTTATCAGAACCTCTTTAAAGACTGACCTTTTATATTGGAAGGATTTTTTTTACTTAAGAGCTTGAAATTTTGAGTGGAAATTTAATCATTTGCAGATTAGTACCACTGTCAGAAGTGCTTTGACAATTGGTTTTAAAATAAATTCAGTACTTTGTACATTACAAATTTGATTGTCAAATATGAAATTCCCTGAAACAATGGTTTGCAATGTCTTACGTATGCTAACATAAAACATGTGAAACTGTTCTACTTGACTTATTTCCTGTGAGTTATGAGAAACACTCCTTATGCTTAGAGGTAATGGATCCTAGTTACACCAGACTATTTCCTCTCTTGATGGGTAGACCATATCTTTTACTTTATTATTTTATTTGTATCTTTTAAAAATTAAAAAAAAATGTCAGTCATGGGGCTTGAACTCTGGGCTTGGGCACTGTCCTTGTGCTCTTTATCTCAATGCGAATGCTCACCGCTTGAGCCACAGCGCCACTTCCTGTTTTCTAGTGGTTTACTGGAGATAAGAGTCTCACGGACTTTCCTGTCTGGGCTGGCTTTGAACTGTGATCCTCAGATCTCAGCCTCCTGAGTAGCTAGGATTACAGGCGTGAACCACCAGTGCCCAGATTTTTATGTGTATCTTACATGCATCACTTTTCTTGGTTTATTCTTTTGTTTTACAAATGCTTATTGCATGCCTGTTATATGGAAAGCACTTGGGATACTGAGTTCCTGGGAGGAACTCATCATCCTTGGTGATACGTACAGTTTCTGTCCTCTAGGAAATAGTAGATAATGTACACACTAAATCAGTGAACAAATGAATGTAATTTGTGATAGTAATGACTGCAGAGACAACAGTGCAGCTATATGATAGAGAATGCCTGAGGGACAAAGAAGCTACTTTGGCTTGGAGTTTTTGCTTCAGCTGAGTCTGAGGTGCAGTTGCTAGTCAACTATCTTCTGGGCAGAGGAAAGAGGCAGTGTAAAGTCTGAAGTAGAAGTCACTTCTGCTGGGGAATATAAGAGGAAGAAGACTATAAAATTTAGAAGAACACTCATTTAGGGCATGATAAGGAGCTACTGGAATTTGAACATTGGTCTAAGTAAAATAGGAAGCAAATTAGACTTTTTTTTTCCTGGTCCTGGGGCTAAAACTTAGGGTCTGGGTGCTATCCCTGAGCCTCTCTGTGCTCAAGCTAGCACTCTACCACTTGATCCACAGTGCTACATCCAGCTTTTTCTGAGTAGTTTATTGGAAATAAGAGTCTCACAGGCTTTCCTGCTCTGGCTGGCTTCAAACCATGATCCTCAGATCTCATCCTCCTGAGTGCTAGGATTAAAGGTGTGAGCCATTGGTGCCTGGCTGCAAATGAGGATTTTTAAAAAATCAATTTTTAAGGATTAAAATGTGCATTTTACTATGACCCATTCATTGGAGGCAAATACTGGGGGAATAGTGAATGAGGGTGTGGGTGTGGGCATGTGGGGTATATGTATGTTTAGTGAGAGTGATGGAAGTAGGGAAACCAGGCTGCTGTGACAGTATTCTAAATGCAAGATGATGGAGGCTGAACCTGCATGACTCTGTTGGTACAGAAAACAAATGGATTTGATTTAGCATGTGTTTTGGAAATGGAGCTCACGGGATTTGCCGATTGGCTAAAAATAAGTTTTATTTGTTAGTATTTCTGTTGTGTAGGTGGTTTTTCAGTTGAGTAAACATTTATTAAATTCCCATTGCATAGCTGATAAACTTTTCTTCACTGGAGTTTACTCTTGGGCTTCTTGCTTTCTGGTAAAGGAGATATACCTTAAAAAATAATTTTAGGTGTTAATGAAAAAAGCGTATACCTAGGGAACTTGATCCAGACAAAGCTTGTGTGATATTTCCTTTGGGGGTGTTGATGCTTGAGTGTTGATGGTGAGTCTCTAGGAGGAATTAGTTGGGAGAAGCCTGTGCCATTAAGAGTAATACTGTTATGTAGAGACTAGAGGTGGAAGAGGATTGGTGAAGAGTTCCAGGTGAGCAGGTATCCAGGAACAGGATATGACAGACATTCCTAGAAGCAGGAAGGACTGCCAGCAGGCTATGCCAGGGCCTTCACATTTAACCTGAGTTTGATTGGGGAGGGTAGAGTCATTGAAAAGTCTTGGGTCCAGAGGGCAACTTGGTTTTAAGTGTAGCACAGGGATGTGAGGCTGTCTAGAATGAAGTCAGGGTTCTAGTCATTGGTTAATCAACACATCAAAGGGAACACAGCCAAAAAGGAGCATGGTCTGTACCAAATCAGTCAAGGACCTGTTGCCATTTAGTGAGGTGCTCCATGGAGAAGCAGGTTGGAGCACTTCTAGTGATACAGCAGATAGTGGCTTTGACCTGATTGTTGGAAGTGATCCAAGGGTAGCTTTACAATGTGGAGGTTACCTCAGTTATATCTCTTTGCCTTTGTATTCATTCTTCTTACAGACTGTTACAGAGATTTGTCTTCATAATCTAGAGCTTTTTCATTATTATTTTTTTCTTTTTTATAAGAAAAATGAAAATGAAACAGTTCTTGTTTATTACCTTGGTTTTCACTAAAAGGTCTTTGAAGCTTGGAGGAGGGCTTATTTATGTAATTTAGCATGCTTTTTAAAAATATAGGTTTGAGTCAGGTGCTGATGGCTCATACCTTTAATCCTATTTAGGAGACCAAGATGTGAGGATCATAGTTCAAAGCCAGCCTGGGTAGGCTGGCTCTATCACTTGAACTGTGCTTAAGTATTAGCCTCAAGCACAAAAGCTCAAGGACAGTGCACACGCTCTAAGCCCCAGGACTAGCACAATAAAACAAACAAAAATAGTAGGTTGGGCTGGGAAGGTAGCTCAGTGGTAGAGTGCTTGCATCGCATGCATGAGGCCCTAGGTTTGAATCCTTAGCGCCACATAAGCAGGAAAAAAAACAAACAAAACCGAAAGTGGCGCTATGGCTCCAGTGGTAGATAGCCTTAGTCTTGGGCCCAGAATTCAGGCCCTATGACTGACAAAAAAAGAAAGAAAAAAAAAAGTAGTAGGTTGTCTCTTGACAGTATAGTTTGATGTCATTTAAAAAATAACTTAAAAAACTGTTACTATAAAGTTGTTTACACAGGGATTACTGTTTCATAAATCAGGTAAATGAGTACATTTCTTTTTGGGCAGTGTTGCCTCTTCCTTTTGCTCACTCCCAATGTTTTCCTCTTGTCTTTGCCCACAAGTTGTGTAGTTCATTTTCAGCATAGTGTCTACTTTGTACCACTGCTGCACTTTTTACCTTTCGTCCCTCCATTTCTGTGCTCCCTGTATTTTGCTCTCGCCCCCCCAAGACAGATAAATGAACAATCTCTTGTTTCCATTTTCTGGAGTTCATTTAGGTATATATAATATGATCAGATAGACAGAGACACTTTAGTGGAACAGAGGAACACCTTTGTGTTCCTCCCCAAAGAGTATCCTCCTTTGGTTTCATTGTGTGTGAATGTCTAGAGTCCTGTATAATTTATCATGTCCCAGTGTATTTTATATCTAGCCTCTGCATATGAGAAAAACATGCACCATTTGTCTGAGCTTGACCTACCTCGCTTAACATGATTTGTTCTAGGTCCATCCATTCCCCTGCAAATGATATAATACTTTTCTTTCTGATGGCTATATGAAATTCCATTCATCTATTGTAGGGCATCTGGGCTGTTTCCATAACTTGGGTATTGTGAATAATGTAGCAGTGAACATAGGTGTGCAAGTGTCTTTATGATATCCTGGCTTGTGAGGTTTTGGATAGATGCCCAAGTGTGATGTGGCTGGGTCATAGGGAAGATCTATCTTATGTTCCAGACTGCTGTTCAGAGTGGTTATACTTTCTCACCAACAGTGTAATAAGGTTCCTTTTTTTCTCACATTCCTGCCAGCATTTTTGTTGTTCAAATTCATGATGTTGGCCGATCAAACTGGGATGAGATGGAATCTCAGAGTTGTTTAGATTTGCATTTCCTTTATGGCCAGGGATGTGGAGCATTTCCTTATGTTTCTTTGCCATTCTTACCTCTTCTTCGGGGAAGTCTTTTCTTAGCTCCTTTGCCTATTTAGTGACTGGTTTATTAGTTTGAAGAGGAGTTAATATCTTGAGC